TGTAAAAAGAGAGTGCATCAACTAGAAAAATGCAGCGACCGAGAGGAAAGTGAAAATGAGGAGCAACAAAGAATATATTTTTTCTGCAGCAGAAATATGTTGTTTCATAGGTGATTCAGTGTGCAAGCAAATCTCTGACAGAAATGCAACACAGATATTCACATATGAAGAAAGAGGCTCTCGCATTATTAATATGGATATACGATGTTTGCTACTTATTTAACTGGCATTGAGTTTTATTTGGTTACCGACCATAAAGCTCTATAAATAGTATTTGGCCCCCCACCGTAAACCTCGTACACGTACACAGCGGTGGGTTCTACAACTGTCCTTCAAGTGCAAAGTTGTGTAAAATCCAGTCTAACCTAGCTGATTCCCTGCCCCAATTACTAGCCACAAGTAAGATGCCAACAACAGACTGAGTCGGAGGTATGACTTCTTGAAAAAGCTTCTGTTCCAGCAAGAATGACTCTATGTGAAATCCAATGGGCAAATCCACAGGATGATAATGAGTCTTCAACTTAAGTTTGGCTACAGATAAATAGACTAAAGAGCAACAAATATACAAGATTATTAAACCAGAGCTTTGTATTGTTGATGACATCATTCTCTGAGGTCTGTGTTATTAACACCATTAAAGAAGCATGCATTAGAATCAGCACTAGGATTCACTCAAAGGTTCTGTTGCAACAGACGTACAGATGCAGAGGTATTGGTTAAAAATTGTTATGCCAGCAAGCTAGAAGCCATCCTGGAACCTACTGAATCCATAAAAATCTGTGTTCCCTGCGTGGCAGTGGGAGTAAATTGCTACTGATTTCTTGGACCCACCACCATCTCAGAAGATCATCTTGGCAGTTGTAGACTAGTACAGTTATTACTTCATTCTCTGTCCATGCAGTGAATTTAAAAAAGGGGGAAGAGCACTATAGTGGATAAAGTCTAACGTTTTGATGGCTGTACTATCTGGTATGGAGATACTGTGATGTTTTCTACTGTTAAAAGGAAGAAATAAAACAAAAATGGTGCCTAAATGATCAATGCTTTGTAAAAGTATTAAAAAATAAACAGTCGTTCCACCATTCTCTGATGGGAAAAGTAAAACCATTTACCTCAGGTACACCCAGAAGGGTGTAAAAGTTTGTGTTAACTTCCTCGACCAAATCGAATATCTCCAGTTCTTCGTTGTCCCAGCAATGAATGGCATCCAATACAAACATTAAAAGAAGCCATGGTATCCAGAGCTTCATATGGACAAGTTTACTACCCTGCAAGTGGGGGGATGGCAAAGAATGTTTAGAAATGTCCAAGAAATGGAACAACTGAATACGGTAATAAGTGAACTTATGACGTTGTTGATCCGAATCATACCAGGTGTCTACAGTAACAATTGCACATAAAGCAGCACTGTATGTTATGGCAAGCAGAAAACTCTAACCTAACGTATATTCAAGTTTCTCCACAATCGAACTGAATGTGCTCAATGTTCATGATTAAATGACTGATCACTGTCATACATACCTGGAATTACTTTGAAACATGCCGCCTTATGTGCAATTGTTACTATAGACCCCTAGCGGGATTATAAGCAACAACGTTACAAGTACACTTGTCATCTTATTCTGTTGGCTAAAGAAGCTTATGACTACATCTTGACCACGCAAAGTATATATTTCAGTCAACATCACAGTTTTCACGCGTTAAACAGTATTAAAAATTACAGAAATGTGAGGTACTATTAAAAAGCTCCCTTTTTCTGTATGTGCGCTACAACGTTACCACAACATGATACAGACCCTACTGAACTACGTACACAACGTGGAATCGAAATTTAATACATGTTTTGTGTACCAGTCGACAGATGGCTGAATCGGTGTTTTGACCGTGACAGGTGGTGCCAACAAAGTTTTATGTATACCTTAGCTGTAGTCACAGCTAAATATTTCACCGACTTTGCAAGGAGAAAAGTTTATGTAAGCTATTTTATTTTAATTTCACGGTCCCTACGTCAATAGTATAGAACTTCCGCTTACTTCAATGCTAAAATCGGAAGCACAAGTAGCGAGATATCCCGGCGGATATGAAAACTACGCCCATATTATTTACAACTAATTTAATTCCTTACAGTTCATCTGAGCGCAGTTTATATGTAACCATGATGGTGGAAGAAAGTAAGGTATCGCCAAATTTAGAACGAAAACTAAACTGAACTGCGTAAACATTGTTTTCGACCACATTGGTCAATTTTTAAGAGTTTATAGCATAACGTCCACACCAAATTTTGTGAAAATTCATCTAGTCAATTCTTTTTTGCATTAAATGCAGGCGTGCAATGCAGGGAGGGTGCGTAAGCGTGTACGCATAGATCATTGGTAATGGTGTCATGTCCGATCTCACGAATTTCAGCACAAGAAATTAACAGTGTAGCCATCTTCGACAGCAAACACCACAGATACTACCACAGCCTACGAATGGCAGTATTAAACGGTTCCCGGGAGTTTCAAGGAACAAAATTACTGATGTATGTTTAATGTAATGTATATATGTGTGTGTGTGGAGTGTGATACAAATTCGATGTGGAGGTAATTTATGAAGATGTTGTGATGTCCTCATAGGAAGAATTGGCAAGATACAAACTGAAAGATGGAGCAAAGGTAAATATAAAGCTAATTTACATATTTTTAAATAGTATACATATTCTGTCTTACCATAGTGTTGTGAAGTTATTTATTATTTATTTGCTCTATAAAAGAAACTGTTGTTATTTTAATGTTGTGAATGAAGTATATGCTACATTTGTAAATCAGGTGGACATTATTAAGATGTACATATCCCTGGCCAAGCTTTCTTCCACCTTTGCTCATTCCTAAATTATGTGAGAATCAGTGAAGAAATTGGGACTTCTGTGCTGTATGCAGTAGCTAAAACAAATGGTTTTACAGATACCAATATCAATACAATATCCATATAATGATATGATATGTTCATGATTACTTTTTTATTTAATATTGTAATAAAGAAATTACTTTGTGTATTGCATTTTGACAGTTGCTATTGAAATGTTATTAATATATGTAAGCAGGTGGTGAGACATTGCGTTTATAGATTTATCACCCAGTACTTTTTTGTAAATAAATACATTCTGCAAGGGTAGAAAACATTTGATATGGGGAGCCTGTATATAAAAATGGAGATAAAATTAAGCAATTTACAAGGAATCTCACATTTGTCAATTTAATATAGAATATTACCTGGTATGGTTAATGCCATGCATGAAGGTATTGATGCTCATTTCTGTAACTCTCTTAATTATACGTAAACATGTGAGCAAATTGTCTTTATTTGACAAATATTTTAGAGAATAAATGGGGGACAATGGTACATTACCCGTGTAAACTTGTATATTTAAAAAGGCCTATGATTAAAGTGAAAGGAAGTATTTTATAACAACTTAACACAATCTGAATTACGTGAAATGTATTCTGGGTTTTAAAATGATGAGCTCAATGAAGCTGATAATAAATAGTCTCTCAGGTTATCAAGAATTTACCTACTTTTTATGAAAACCAAATTCCCCCCCCCCCAACTGTGATTGGCAGTTCTAACAACAGTAAAGATGTTGATGGTAGTATTCTAGGTTTCAAAGCCTTGTAGTATTCTCCAAGACTACATTATTCCACAACCCAGAAGACCACAATTGATATTCATTTCTATGGTCACAAAAACCCACCACATAGACATCCATCTTATAAATATTTGTCTGATGCATTTTAAAATCAGAATGGACTGACGTGCCTTATCCCTGTTTCTCTTTTTATTTTTTTATAAGAAGGTTGACTTGCAATAAGCCAGGAACATATTTAAGGATGGCCATGGAAGACATCTAAAACTCGTGGTTTACCATCTGTAAGAGGACTGCTAACCGTAGCATAATTCTTATATTCATTGCATCATGTGTGTATCATAATAACTAACTGTAGCACTGTCTAGTAATTTTACTTCTTGTGGTTACACAGAAACAGACATTTGCATATAATTATTATTTTCTATGTGCATTCTGTATTTGCGAGAAGGCATACATAAATAAAATATGTTGTTCCTCATTTTCCCCTCAGCAGTGTACAGTAGTTAACATTTTATGCCTAATGACGTAATAAAAGTAAAGCTGTCCCACTATACGCCATGTAGGTGCTTGGGGGAGAGGAAGTCTAGCTCCTACTCATTCCTAACCTCGGCACTAGGTGAGGGTGAGCGGTTAGCATCATGCCCCAGCCATGCTTTACCTCTGGGAAAGGACCCCGGTAGCCATTGTTTCGGAGGCTGTGTGGGCCCCTGGATGCAGAGTCTAGAGGAAAAATACTTTGCCCCCATTGGGGATCAAACCCTGGTTGGCCAGTCTGTAGCCCGTCACTATACTGACTGAGCTACCCTACCTAATGATTTAGTCATTGTTTTATTCATCAGTGATGAGCATTTGGTCATGCTGTTTTCCCAAGCACAACATTTTGCTTTGTTATGATGTCTACAGCATTTTCCAATATATTTATATCACACTTTCAGGTTACAGTTTGATTTTGAAGTTTCCAACAGTAGGGTGACCAGATATGTCCTCATATATGTGGGATCTATCCATGTTTTGATTTCTTGGCCCGCCATTCTAATTTGTTTGTAAAAATTAGCGTAATGTGCTTATTTGTGTTGGAAGTTTTTACAGTTATTGCCTTTATTTGATATTGTTAATAATACATAAGTGTTATACTTTGTGTGTTATTATAGCTTAATAACTTCCATCAATATTAAGAATTTTCCATTGCCTTTGCATCACATAAAGAGAAATAATTGAAATATTTATTTTATTAGATGTTTTCTGAGTTATAGCATAAGTAAAGAACACCTTATAGCCCTGCCATATCTGTCTGTCTAGTCTTTCAGTTTAGATTGTGCTGCCATCTATCAGTAGAAGTATCAGTAATGTTAGATCTGACAGGCGTCCACTTCTGCATTCTCTAGCTAATTGAATTATTCATTCTGTCCCCTTTGTCATTATAGCTCAAGTGCTGAGTGTAGTGTTCAGTTGTGGCAGATTTTTGAGCATCCTTGCATTCATCATAGAAGTTGCCTTCTGTTGATGGTTTATAAACATTCATCAGTATGGACAATCTCACTTATCTTTCCAGATCATTGCTGTCAAGACATCTCTGACCCTATCATGTCAAAGTCTCCAAGCCAGTGGTCCTCAACCTTTTTGTGCCTACGGTCACATTTGAGAGTTTTTGAGATCGTGGCGGGCACCAACCAATTAACAAAGCCAAATTTTCTTTTCTCTGGACAAATAAGATATGGACACCAAATAATACGCAAAACAACACAACGTTTAATGATACAAGAAACCATGCAATCAAAAGTACGTAGTCTTATAAGTACAATTATTATTACTCAAGTCGGAAGTTAGTGTGATGTTTGGCGCTGCATTTCATCGGCCAGTTTTTCAAATTTGAGAGTGTAGGATGATGTTGCTGCTCGTAAACAATCGTCAAGATGGGCGTCAGTAAGTCGAGATCTGTGCTTTGATTTTATAATGTTCATTGGTGAACGGCCTTCATTATTCAGTATAACCTCTTTCCGTAACAACGCGGGCACCCAAAAAAAGCCTTGGCGGGCACCGCGTTGGGGACCACTGCTCCAGGTTTTTTTTGTAAGATTCTGTCTGACAGTTCCACAACACCTGACAGCTGTTGTGTTCATGTCATTAAATGAACAGGAGAAGAGAAAAATTATCCATGTAAAGTATATGGCCAGTCCTTTCTACTGTCCTCACTGTTGCATGTGTCACTGTCATCATCCGTGTTGAATTTTTCCTGTCCTTTACCAAGTATATGCTCTTAAATGTAGTCAGTCATGTTGCAAATTTTGTAAATTTCTATGCCAAAGCATATATATCTCTTGGGAAAGTATTGATTGAATATATCTCTCTCCTTGAACATCAGTGACTACATCTATGGCTAAATGTTCAACTGGATTGTAAAATATAGCATAGCTGTCGCTGAGTATATCAAAGTGACATAATATTTTCCAAAGTTTATCATCGTCTGTCTTGCCTGGTTGATTCATGTTATTGCAAAATGAGAATCTCAGTATATGAAGAAATCAGTAATATTTTATCATGTCACTATAAAATGGCATATAGAACTCTTCAAGAGTGCATCAGTAATGTTTCAGTGTGACCTGCTCATCATGTCCCATTCATACAAAAATAGTTTGAAATACATCTCTTGTACAATCTGGATTGCTGGATGTTTGGACCTTGTCAACTGTCTAATGTTATAAAATACACAATGTTTCGAGGACTGGATCTGTCCTTTTCTACACCTGAAGATAAGCAACTAAACTAGTTTGATCAAATTAGGTATTCAGGGGTACACACTAAAATTATCATAGTTATTCAAATTTAATTTTGGTTTGTGTTGTTTAAACCCTTATTTTAAGATTCTTTACAAAAGTTTTCTCAAGAATGTTACACAAAAAACTGATACATTAAAATTTAATGTTTATTTTAAACGTCATTAAATGTGGAAAATAGTTAATGAACTACAAGGCAAGTTTTCTGATTCAGTGTAGTATATCTGTTGCGCAGTGAGCTTTGTATTAACTAACTAACTAGATGGCTTACCGAACCCGAAGGTTCATCACCGAATTAACCAAAGCCCTCCACCGGACCCTGTCCTGGGCCAACGAAATCCAGTCTCCTTCAACTCCTATCTCCCATAGATCCCGCCTGAGATTATCCTCCCATCTACGTCTAGGTCTCCCCAGCGGTCTCTTCCCCTCAGGCTTCCCAACCAATACCCGGTGCACACCTCTTGTCCCATCCATGCGCGCTACATGCCCCGCCCATCTCATTCTTCTCGACTTAATCACCCTGACAATACTGGGGGAGGAGTACAGATTTTTAAGCTCATCATTATGCAGTTTTCTCCATGCCCCATCGTTTTCTCTCTTAGGCCCAAATATCCTCCTCAACACCCTATTCTCAAACACCTGCAATCTGTGTTCCTCCCTCTGAGTGAGAGACCATGTTTCGCACCCATACAAAACAACAGGCAAGATTATTATTTTGTATACTTTAATTTTCAGGTTTTTAGAAATCAGACAGGAAGACAAAATATTTTGAACTGAGAAGTAGCAAGCATTTCCAGAATTTAATCTCCTCCTAACTTCCTCATGAGTATCATTTTGATTTGTTATTGTTGTTCCCTAGCTTTGTATTAGTAAATCAATTAATTTGTAAAAATTTGAGCTCTCTGATTGGAGTACACCTTTCCAGTCTTATTATTAATATACTGTTATAGCATTTGATGCCTAAGCATTCAGATGATTCTAATAGGAGATATGAACATTTGAACTTTGTATTAATCTTCATCTAAATGTGCATATAATGGTTCAATTAGAGCATCACACTGTATTGTATTTTTTAGTGTTAAGTTTTCTTGGTTTCCTTTCTTAACCATAAAAGTAGACTTATGATATCACCATGCTCTGTCTGTATTTTCCTCTCCCCTTTCAAATTTTGAACCAGTCGACTTAATTCATGACGTTTTGTATGAATTTTATTATGCCCATGGAGGCTACTGGTCTTCACACTTTTCAGTTTCCTACAACTGTTAATAACAATATGGCAGACACAAACTTGTGATGTGGGACTGACTCTAATATAAACATATGGTTCTGAAAATATGTGGATCTCAGAAAAATATGCATCTTTTTTTTGAGGTGATTTTCTTATGTATGAAATTTGTATTCAGATTTTGATATGGCCATGAAACCTAATAAACCATTGGAGTTTGGTATTTGGAATCTGGTATGGAGACAGATCATAAAGTTACCTGTAAATTCTATAAAATATTATGTATATATTAAATCTTGTCCGTCTAATCACAATAATTCTTATTAAATATTACAATAATTAACATTTTAACATTTAAAATATCTAAAATATTAAATGATGTTCTTTACCGAAATATTCGATTTACATTAGACCATCATTTTTCATGTTTCAGTTCCTAAAAGAACCATCCTCAGGTGTATATAATTATATAAAGCTTCAAAACGATAAATAATTCAAATACAATTTTCATACATTATGCTAGCGTACATTTTTATCAGATTTTTACCAGATATCAAATGATGTTCTTTTTCAGATTCTTATTCCATTTTTAATAACACACTCGATGTTGTTCTGTATATATACATCATGCTCAATGTGACTTTAGTTTGGGTGAACGTTTTGTTGTTTTTGTATCAGTCTGTAATGTAAATAACATAAAGGTTAAATGAATATTAGTAAAATAGAAAACAAAGTAATATATATTGAAGATAAGACGGACAAGATTTAATATATACTTATTATATCACAATATGACGCAACTTTACCATCTTATAAAATATTATTTTTAGTTAATGGTGTGAAACTTTGAGGGATGTCTGTACTTAATAAATATACATCATCATCATGAAGTAACATATTAACAATTTCATTCTGTAAAAAACATTCTGGCTCTACAAGGATTTTACTTCTCGACCATCTGCACGTGAATCCCGTCAAAATATAGTGGAATTTATTGGCTTATAAGTTTGTATGACATAGACGTAGCATTAACAACACAAGATTTGCAGGGCTAGAAGTCTCTGTAACTCCTTATTTATATCTCATTTAATGGAATTAACAGATTTGGGACGGTGGTCTCTAGTCCTTTCATTCATTCAGATGTATTTTGGCAGGTGCGTGATTAATATGTACTTCATTGCTCATGCACCAGAACAACATACAAAGATAGTTTTTTTTCCCTCTGCCTAAATTACTGTACAACATGATCATAGAAATATGATATAGTGGTTTAAATATGCACAAACTAAATGTCCAGACTCCTGACTGTGCTTAGACAAATGCGCACTCTTTCGGTCTATTTCTTATCACCTTCACTCAGTAATGTGAATGTTTCATGCCCCAGATTTTGTTGAATTACAGAAGTTTATTGCATTTTACCCAACGTTTTCATTTACTGTAACTCCAAGAACTGAATGTCCACTTCACATGCACAATGTTTTCTTCAGAAATCTGTTCAACTGAGAACTTCCTAGTTATGGCAAATGAAGATTTATGGCAATCTTTGCAAAATACCATATCCTGAGGCATAACTATTAATGAATCCTGTTTTAATCTGATTGAATGTGTACTTTGAAATTTTAATTATTCATCAGTGTAGTCAACTGTCATAGAAACAGTATTTCGGTAAACAGAATGTGGGGTACGGAAGTCTTCCTTCACAGCAGAGTGTAGCTACTTCTCTTTCTGTTCTTGGATGATGGCCCCATGTTGTGGTGGCTGGTTTACCTTTATTTAAGAGAACCCGGCTGTTTCCATCTTCATGGTGAAGTTCGACATGTTACTTTATCCACACAGTCAGAATACTGTTGAACAACATACATGATTAATTTAATGATTTCAATCCCTAGAGCTGACATGCATGGGGAATCATAGGATAACAGTGTTGTGTTGACTGAAAACTAAACAGTACTTTAAAAGCTGTTGCAGAGAGCAGGTAGGAATCACCAAAATTACTATTTTATCATATTTCTTAACCTGTAACTACCCAGAGACCACTGACATTTTTCAAGTTTTCCTTTCAACATTGTTGATCTTTTCATGATCTCCCATTCCTGGAAGATGCGTTGTCTACCCACACACAATAGCAATGTGTCTGACATCTGCTTGAGAGGTACCTACCTGATTATTAAAATCGTGGTCAGAATATCAGCTGTTCTTATTGAATTTTCTCAAATCTTCCAGTAAAATGAAGTAGGCCATGATTAACCTACCAGTGCAGCTTCTGATGCATATATTCCTCACTGGACCACCTTGTAACCACAGAGGAACAAGCAAGACGAGCCTTCTTATCTATGTAGCCTAACAACTTGGCAATATGGGATTCTGATACCCTTGGTTACTTTAAGTTAAAGTGCCAACTGCCAATCTTTTTACATCTGATAGATGATTTTGAGTCTGACTTGTTATGATCCTATTGTCTCTACATATTTAAGAGATTGGCATCCTCAGGGTAGGTCAGTCCTCAATGTTATCCTCTTTGCCATTGCTATCAGTGAAATACTGATATACGGGTAAATTTCTCACGTATGTTGATGACTTTGCTGTCTACTACAATTCCCAATCTCTTACAGACATCGAATCACAACTCCAGCTAACTATCAAACAGTTGTTACTGTGGAGTCACGAGAATGGTTTTAAAATTTTGGCTGCGAAGGCCACACCATTTGTTTCTGCTAACTCAGGGGCGTATTCTTTCATCCCAGCCTTTTTATAGAAAACAGTCACCTAAAGTGGGAACTACGTGTATGACAACTGCAGAAAAAGTGTCAGCGATCACTCAGTATTTTGACCAAGGATATTTTTTCTACACTTCTACAATACATCTCTTTCCAGGGGTCTAAAGAATGAGTAGAATGGAAAGTCTATATGCAGAATCATGGGAACCTCTACTTGCTACTCACCAAAAATTCTACATAGTTATGCTCAATTCTAAGGCAAGCCATCCTACAGGCATTAGGTACAAGGAGATCTTGTATGCACTCAATATTTTCACACTCCTCCATTTCAAAATCCCCACTTTGCCACTTGGGGTCATAGTCCCTATTGAGACACCCACTGTTGCGACCTTCCCAAGGCATATACACCTCCATGTACCTTCCTTAGGCTCTGTACATCCAGATCACACAGCTGTTTTTACATACATGTCTGATGAATGGATCAACAGGTTGTCTATTTATTTTTAAATATAAAAGCTTTTCAATTTAAACTGAACTCCTTCAGTATTTACCATGGAGCTCCTTGCACTATGTAAGGCACTTCAGACTGTGAGTAACCTTCCACTAAGGATGTTTCTACTTTGTACAGACACTCTGAGCAATCTAAGGCCTACAGTCCCTTGATTTCATCTATCCGCTCATCTCGGAGCTATGCATGACCTATCATACACTCCCTGAACAGGGTTTCAAGATAGCCATAGTACGGACGTCAGGTACTGGTGGCAAGAAGGTAGCAGATACCATTGCCACGGATGCCACTATTTAAGGCACCCTGGTACATACTGTCCTCAGTTTGGACTTTAAGACTGTCCTCTTGTGATGTACCTTGGCAAAGTGGTAAGAGGACTCGGAGCACACTTAAGGCATCAAGCTGCAAGATGTGAAACCAGGGGTACTTCCATGAAGGTCTTGTCACTCCGCCCACCATGAAGAAGTGGTGACTTGCCTGAGGGTTGGCCACACCTTTCTGACACAGCCATCTTCTGTCTGTGTTCCCTGTAACGTACAACTAAGTGTTAGACACATCTTGTTAGATTGCCCGAGGTACAGTCACAGACACTAGAGGATTTACTTCCCAAGCACTGTCAGTGAGCTATATGCTAAATGATGTTATTTTAACATGAGTTCTATTCCTTTTACAAACTATCAACCTCTTCTACTTTTTATGATTGTTTCATGTGAACATTTTATCATTCTGTAAATGTTTGTCTAAATTAGTAGATATGCACAAATAGCTGTAGTAACAGATGTTCCTTTAAACTCCCTACTACCACTAGTACTGCTACTATTACTATTATGATTACTACTACTACTGAAACCAGGAGCACATTGCAATTTAATTTATGTACTTTTCAGTATTACTATCGTTACAAACATGAATTAAATTAAATTAAATTAAATCCGTGGCGTAACAGCTCCAGAGAGCCAAAGCTGACTAGCTTGACTGCTGGCCTCACGTTCACATGCCTAAGCAGAGGTGAACGATCATCCAACCAGATATAGGATGACGTGTGGTCAGCACAACGAACCCCCAGCCATTGCTAGCTTTCCTGACCGGATTACGCTACCCATTGTAGCTCCCCAATTTCCTCACGATGCTGGGTTGGCACCAGTCCCATACACTGGTCGAAAATCTCATGAGAAAATTTCTTCTCCCCCGAGACTTGAACCAGCGCGCATTCCGTATCGCCGGTCCGAAGCACGATGCCTCAGACCGCACGGGACAAACAAACATGAATATAAGTTGTAAATGTTAATTTTGGTCTTTCTGCTGAATTTTATTATCAAAAACTGATTGATAAGAGGATAACATCATGCTTGAAGATGGCTGACTTCTGGGTTGTTGCACCGTGTAGTCTGGTAGAAGTTTATCAGTGATTCGGGGGTCCTTGCTGCCTCCGTAATCAGACTACATGGTGCAACAACCCAGAAGACAGCCATCTTAGATATAAATACATCTGGAAAATTGCCTAAACGATTTGAAGACCATTACCTGTCCCAAGATATTGAATTTTTTCTGTGTTGCGCTGATAAAGCAACATGCACTAAGCTGAAGGAATGAGAGGGTTGAGAAACCTTTATGTACTGCTCTTTGTCAGTGCAAGTCCAGATTCAGCAAATGTAGTACGGACCTTATTAATTTCTTCACAGTACGATGGCTTCACAGTGGCCTGCCAGTAAACTGCATTTACTCTTGAGACCAGCCAAGGGCTGGGTCAGCAACATGCTGGAAAAAATATAATGTTTAAAGACAACTCACACAGTAAACCTTTGACCTCCTTTTCTGTTATTGAACTCTCTGACTTGAAACTCAAAGCTCTGTTCCCCTAATGGTTACATTATGTTGAGAATTTTCTGTTTAATACCAGTTGGGGCCAGAGATGCCAGAAGATAATTTAATATGCTGTTCCAATTAAAAGAATGTTAGTCACCTGTGTTAGGACTGTCTAATGAGCTTGGAAACACTGGCTTCAGACCATCTTTTGATGCGATAAATTTACTTCATTAGAGAGATAGAGTTATTTGCTAACAAATGCGAGAAAATTATTTTTATTCAATTTATATTTACAAATATATTTACTTTTCATGTTTTGCATCTATATCTTTCTTACTTTCTGTTGACGAAGACTGGTTAGAAGTTTCATTTTTTTCCAAGGTAAATGAAGTTTCAAATAAATATTGTTTTATTTGGCATGAATGCATCTATTACCTTTACTTCTTTTGTCAGAGGAGAATGTGGCCTGGTAGTCATCTGCTTTAGGTCCTGCTGTCTCTCCATGTCCCAGTCTGTGGCGTATAAGCTGACAATCTACAGAGTTGATCCAAGCAAAATATTAGAACTTTTATTGAATGGAGAAGAGAAAATGTATTTTTTAATGACCTTGCCACTGATAATTTTGTACCAAGACATAAGTGAAAGTACCAGTTCATTACAGCATGGCTGACACGCTGCAGAGCATGTGACGGCCGTACACATTTGCTTTGACTTCTCATTAAATGTGTGCAGTGCTACATTTTCTGTTATTGGTCATCATTCTCAGGCTTTCTGTACTGCAGTAAATTTGATTGCACTGTACTGTAACAGTGAACTTAGCATATATTGTGCATGAGGAACATTTAAAAAATCTGCAATATTGAAATACTTTCACTGTGTGACTGGCAACACTACTGAAGCCTGGTCGTTCTGTACCTCAAGGTCAGACATGTGAGCATGGTTCAGGTGTAGTCCGTTTGTGCCGAGTGAGCGAGGTGTAAAAATGGTTGCTCCACTAAGGGTTTGCACCAAAGACAAGCAACTTGCAACACTGCATTTTGGTGTCTGAAGGAATGAAAGGGGCAGAGATCCATTGGAAATTGGCTGCCAAATATGGACGGAACTGTTTGACACAATGATCTGTCTATAAGAGGATCAAAATGTTTAAAAGCAGCGTTACTGATTTAGACAGGCAAGGATGACCGTCCACATCCACTAATGAACAGTTTATGGAACATGCTGAAATAATGATTCTTAGAAACTGTAGAGTAATTATTGAAGAAACTACTACAGAATTGAGCAAACCTGTAATGTAACTACCATCATTACGCTACATTTACTTGGCACAAATGGACTACAACTGAACAGCACTCACAGCATGTCACTGTCTGACCCTGCGCTACAGTATGACCAGGCGTCAGCAGTGTTGCCTAACATACAATGAAAAATATTTCAACACTGGAAATTTCTTAATCTCCTTCATATATATTATGTTTTTTAAGCTATATTGAAATCTTACTTACCATACATGATGCAAGATGTCACAACAGGAATGAAGCTTCTGAAATTGAACTGGCACCACATCCCAGCCAGTCAACTGTTCTTGTGTTTCCTTGATGTGTAGAAAACGTGCTTTGGATATACAAATTAACTGATACATTCATTTCTGCCCATTAGCAATGACATTGCATGAAGACATTTTGTTCTCTGTAGAAATTAATCTGTGGTTCCCTAAAGGATTGTGACAGTGGCTAATTCATTATAGAAACACTATGTTGGACATTGTCCATTGTGTGAGGTATTTTTGCAGATCATGAGGTTTTGGGGAGTTTGCTCTAATTCCATTTTCGGGCACTTGGTTGTTGTTATACAGACACTTTTTTTTTATTGTTTGACACTGGTTGGGATCAAACCCAAGACCCTTTAGATGCTAGGCTAGTACCCTAACCACTAGACCATCAGGGGCATTTTGGCATTTTTGAAAATCTTTTTTATTTCTTAATGTTCTGTCTGGAAATATATTAGTTTACATTTTGAATATACAGTTAGACATATGTATTCATTATAATTTTTTAGGAATAGCATAAATGCTTCATAAACATTCAAATGAATGTCTGACCTACTTCAGCCTAGAATAGTTTATTGTGTGTCTAATTACTGTATATTAAATGGCAGTTAAATTACTTTTAACATAAGCTTTTACCGGTAGAAAACCACTCTTGATATTGAGCATTTAATATCTTATTTTGTTATAACATATTGGGATTAGTGATTTGAAATGATGAACAGGGGTTACTCCTGAGAAAAAATTGGAAAAAAAAATTGATTTAAATTGTATGTCATCAAGAATGTAAAAAGCCAATAATCTATGATATGATATCACCCAGTAAATAATTTTCAACTCTTGAAGTATTTAGTCATTCTTCCAATAATTATTTTACTATTACAGCACTGTTAAAGCAAATTGTATCTTACCATAGGAATTTTGTCTGGAGAGGAGACAAATTAAATTAATCACACATTTTAATGATATAAATAAATATAGTCCACACTTAATTCATCTAGTCTTTATGAATGAAATTCATTTTTCAAATAATTTTTGGTATTGTTAATACGTTGACAGGAAAATGTATTTCAGACTTAGTTTTGCCTGACACAGCAACCACAAGTATTACAAAATTTAGTATACACTTAGGATTGGCGTTCATTTCATAAATTAGCCTGTATGAAGAATTTAGTATATTATATTATTAGTGTATTATCAAGTTTGATCATGCCTGTTAAGGCAGTTTGAAATTCTTTTTGATCTGTGAGATCGCAATTTCTAAGAGCCGTGGAAAAGCTAGTATCTGACTTTGATTATTAAATTAAGCATGAATTAAACACTCCTGTCACCTTATAGCTTTATATAGAACTTACCTCAGGTATGTTTGCATCTCAGGGTTCAGTATATTTAAGTTGTCAACTCAGATGACTTTGTACCATTTTTCCGTATGCAACGATAAGAAATATTCTCTTAATTTTAAACAGTATGAGTTCTGTATTTCAGATACTTTTCTTGTTCATTTTCCTGATAGACTTGTGGCGACCACAAAATGATTATGATAATGCAATGTGAAGAGCAGTAAATTATTTAGGTTTTAAAAGAAAGAAATATCAATGAGAAACGAAATTGGTAATTTGATATGATATGAAAATTTATCTTAAGGAGCTTAATCATCTGCCTCTTTGTTATCTCGCCTCTATCTTCTGGCAGTAATGAGGGAGGTCTCAGCTCCAATAGGGCAGGATTCCGTATGTTCCCATTGATACGATGATGCTGAATAAGAAAGTTACCACAGCGTACTCCAAAGCATGAATGCTGGGGGCCTTATATTCCTCACATTATTAATTTTTGCTTTGTCAGACAGGAAGGATGGAGAAGTTATGGGGAGAAATCAGCGTTGAGTCTGGCTGATGTCTGTTATGGGAGTCCAGCATTTTGACATGTCTCTTCTGTGTACACTTTATCTTATTTAACTCCAGGAGAAAACACTTTACCACTGCATCCAATATCGCTGGAAGTTCTCTGCTGGTTCAAACATCCCTATTATGTTCGATCTATTAAACTTGTAGAATTGAAGGACATAAGTTCATGAACAATGTAAATTCCTTCAGTTCTTCCAATTGGTGCTAAACTATTGAAGCTGAGTCACATCTTGCTAATACCAATTTTCTGCAGACCTGCTGCTACCAGAAAAGTCGGACATAAGCAGGCTGAAAGTTCTGGCAAGTTACGATATATTCTTCCCCTTTCTGGATAAACTTGGAGCTAAATGTTGTTTCTACAGTCTGAAAAATGATCCTGCTTATTTAGTTTGGAATATCTACACCAGAATGCCATTCAAAAATTGAATGTGGCCTTTCAGATTTAGTGTTAATGAATGTGGCCATGACAAATGTTTGCTTGATGTGGGAATTTATTAAGAGCAATCTCTTTGGATTGTCGCCCTTGGTGGACTAGTGGTTAGCGAGCCGGCTGAGATAGATTCACGTCATGTAAAGGAACCTTATGAGCATGAACGAGATGTTTCATAAGCAAAATTTAGCGGTCATTTCTCACCCAAGTCTCTCCTGATTCACTGCTAGATGGCTCTAGCACACAAATCAGGATTGAGTAGAAATTATGCAGAGGCAGTGGGCTTGTCACTCACTGCTCATAAATGCACACTTCAAAGACAAAGAAACCTCCCACATGGGAGGAGGCCAGGGCTCGACTTCAGGCTGTTGCGCCACAGAAAGGAAAAATAATCTCTTTAGATTAAGAAACAGTAATTCTGTTTTTTTATTGTTTGACACTGGTTGGGATCAAACCCAAGACCCTTTAGATGCTAGGCTAGTACCCTAACCACTAGACCATCAGGGGCATTTTGGCATTTTTGAAAATCTTTTTTATTTCTTAATGTTCTGTCTGGAAATATATTAGTTTACATTTTGAATATACAGTTAGACATATGTATTCATTATAATTTTTTAGGAATAGCATAAATGCTTCATAAACATTCAAATGAATGTCTGACCTACTTCAGCCTAGAATAGTTTATTGTGTGTCTAATTACTGTATATTAAATGGCAGTTAAATTACTTTTAACATAAGCTTTTACCGGTAGAAAACCACTCTTGATATTGAGCATTTAATATCTTATTTTGTTATAACATATTGGGATTAGTGATTTGAAATGATGAACAGGGGTTACTCCTGAGAAAAAATTGGAAAAAAAATTGATTTAAATTGTATGTCATCAAGAATGTAAAAAGCCAATAATCTATGATATGATATCACCCAGTAAATAATTTTCAACTCTTGAAGTATTTAGTCATTCTTCCAATAATTATTTTACTATTACAGCACTGTTAAAGCAAATTGTATCTTACCATAGGAATTTTGTCTGGAGAGGAGACAAATTAAATTAATCACACATTTTAATGATATAAATAAATATAGTCCACACTTAATTCATCTAGTCTTTATGAATGAAATTCATTTTTCAAATAATTTTTGGTATTGTTAATACGTTGACAGGAAAATGTATTTCAGACTTAGTTTTGCCTGACACAGCAACCACAAGTATTACAAAATTTAGTATACACTTAGGATTGGCGTTCATTTCATAAATTAGCCTGTATGAAGAATTTAGTATATTATATTATTAGTGTATTATCAAGTTTGATCATGCCTGTTAAGGCAGTTTGAAATTCTTTTTGATCTGTGAGATCGCAATTTCTAAGAGCCGTGGAAAAGCTAGTATCTGACTTTGATTATTAAATTAAGCATGAATTAAACACTCCTGTCACCTTATAGCTTTATATAGAACTTACCTCAGGTATGTTTGCATCTCAGGGTTCAGTATATTTAAGTTGTCAACTCAGATGACTTTGTACCATTTTTCCGTATGCAACGATAAGAAATATTCTCTTAATTTTAAACAGTATGAGTTCTGTATTTCAGATACTTTTCTTGTTCATTTTCCTGATAGACTTGTGGCGACCACAAAATGATTATGATAATGCAATGTGAAGAGCAGTAAATTATTTAGGTTTTAAAAGAAAGAAATATCAATGAGAAACGAAATTGGTAATTTGATATGATATGAAAATTTATCTTAAGGAGCTTAATCATCTGCCTCTTTGTTATCTCGCCTCTATCTTCTGGCAGTAATGAGGGAGGTCTCAGCTCCAATAGGGCAGGATTCCGTATGTTCCCATTGATACGATGATGCTGAATAAGAAAGTTACCACAGCGTACTCCAAAGCATGAATGCTGGGGGCCTTATATTCCTCACATTATTAATTTTTGCTTTGTCAGACAGGAAGGATGGAGAAGTTATGGGGAGAAATCAGCGTTGAGTCTGGCTGATGTCTGTTATGGGAGTCCAGCATTTTGACATGTCTCTTCTGTGTACACTTTATCTTATTTAACTCCAGGAGAAAACACTTTACCACTGCATCCAATATCGCTGGAAGTTCTCTGCTGGTTCAAACATCCCTATTATGTTCGATCTATTAAACTTGTAGAATTGAAGGACATAAGTTCATGAACAATGTAAATTCCTTCAGTTCTTCCAATTGGTGCTAAACTATTGAAGCTGAGTCACATCTTGCTAATACCAATTTTCTGCAGACCTGCTGCTACCAGAAAAGTCGGACATAAGCAGGCTGAAAGTTCTGGCAAGTTACGATATATTCTTCCCCTTTCTGGATAAACTTGGAGCTAAATGTTGTTTCTACAGTCTGAAAAATGATCCTGCTTATTTAGTTTGGAATATCTACACCAGAATGCCATTCAAAAATTGAATGTGGCCTTTCAGATTTAGTGTTAATGAATGTGGCCATGACAAATGTTTGCTTGATGTGGGAATTTATTAAGAGCAATCTCTTTGGATTGTCGCCCTTGGTGGACTAGTGGTTAGCGAGCCGGCTGAGATAGATTCACGTCATGTAAAGGAACCTTATGAGCATGAACGAGATGTTTCATAAGCAAAATTTAGCGGTCATTTCTCACCCAAGTCTCTCCTGATTCACTGCTAGATGGCTCTAGCACACAAATCAGGATTGAGTAGAAATTATGCAGAGGCAGTGGGCTTGTCACTCACTGCTCATAAATGCACACTTCAAAGACAAAGAAACCTCCCACATGGGAGGAGGCCAGGGCTCGACTTCAGGCTGTTGCGCCACAGAAAGGAAAAATAATCTCTTTAGATTAAGAAACAGTAATTCTGGGCGAGACAATTATTGATAACTGACTCAATTTCATATTTCTATAAAGTCCCTATAATTATAGTATTACTGAATTTAATTCACGTGCTAAATAGAATTGAAGTTGAAGTAATTGAAAAAGAAATGTCATTGTTAATTACGTCCAGCTTGGCATGAAGGGAAATATAATTTATAATTGCTGTGTTGAACATAGGAGAATCTTGATCAGATGCATACTAATACATAATTCAGCACCAATGGGAGACTTTCAGGACAGCATGGGGTGATTTCAATACCACTACAATAATAAAATTAATCCAGTACAACATTTCAAACCATGGTTTTTGGATAATTTATTTTTTATAATTCATATGATTTTTATTTAGTTACCAATATTTTTGTTTTAATTAACATGTGTTTTTCTTTGTAAACAACAATTGGGCAGTGAAGATTCAAGTGAGCTTTATATAATGTGAAATGTTTTAGACTATTCTTTCATCTGGGCCTTTTGTGTTTGTTCATAAATTACACCAGAGAAAAAATAATTGTGGTTCATAACTCCAAAAATGTAGAAGTTCATATCTGCATATACACACTGATGATTGAATGAGCCGTCACTGAATCGATCAAATAGTTACAGTTCGTACACTGTCAAAGGAACTGTGTTCACACACGCATTTGCAGTTGTGGCATAGACTGGTTACTTTGTTTCCTTTAAAAATGTGGATTCCCACAAAGTGGTCTGGTTCAGTTCACTGTAACCTCACCTAATTAAAGGAAGATTTGGTTCCTTGGAGGTTTCACTGTATTGTCCACTGATGCATTAGCGTGCAAGTCAGTTGTTTCTGAATCCACACAAATATCCCATTTCTGGTGCTGAATCATATAGAATCACCAACAAAAATTTTTTGCAAATAATACAACATTTAATATCTGTAGATGCAAGATGTTATCGACAATAATTGAGACCTAATTGGAAGAACCTGACAAGACAAACAACTGACCTGCCCCACTTTATGCTATCTGATTTTCCTAAGTTGTTTGGAAATTCATTCTTCTGTAATTTTAGAACCATTTACACTTCAGTATTGCAGGCAAAAATAATATTATACGCAACCACTGGAACTCCATCTTACACTACAGCACCAGAATTTGGGAAAGCATCTGTTTGTAAGATGTCCGCCATAAAGCAAAAGGGCACTGTAATAGAAACAGGAAACTTTTAGAAGTGGAAGTCACATTGAATTCTGCTCTTGTGGATCTTCATTTTCTCTTCTGTTGATGATCTAGCCTAGATATTAAACTAGCAAGAAAATCTCACACGAGTTGTCTTTCATTTTACAATTAGCCATCTTTCAAATGAAATGTAAGACAGAGTCCAATGATTGTTACAGTTCAGCTGTACTGTTCAAATGCTGCAAATTATTTAGAATGTTTTAATGTCCATTTGCTAAGAATTCTAATCCTTTACAAATTCATCATTCTAAATTTATTGTAATAAATATCTATCACAGAAATCATGATTTTGAAATTGGAGAAGTTTGGTTGTCGTGTCTGGCTGCACAGACTCCCAAACTTGGTCCAAATATCCAACTAATTATGGATGGCAAATAATTCAAAATATGTGCAGTGCTGTCTATAAACAAATAAATCAGGTGTGAGGGACATGGAAATTCAATTTGACTGTTGCCAAAAACTTCAGTACAAGATTAAATCATATCCTTTCAAGAACCAGCTATGTTCCAGTCTATGCTGAACAGCTCGTTCATGCCGTTTTCGGGAAGGACGTGTCCTTAGTCCTGCATTAGCATCCTTTATGAACGACTACCCATAAGTGTCATTAGGCTACGAAGATATATCGTTGGTTTTTCGTGACTTTGATAGAGGTCTATTCTGAATATCAGCTACAAATTTTGAATATTTCTTTTTGCTTTTAGACTACCTGATGGACAGAATTTCCTGTTGAACAGCAATGACACTTGCATTACATTTTGTTGATTGTTCCGTTAGAACAAGTTCATATTTTGCATTTCTTGCCCACAAATTCATGTTAAATACAAATTTATCGGATGCCCGCTGATTATTTTATCAGCACAGTGATAGAGTTGCCACTTGGTATTTCTATAACCTGTTATTTGTTGTGAACAAACGAATTGTTGAAGTGCAGTAAAAGAATTATATAGTTGCTTTTTGTAGTATGACAGAGGTAATAAAATTTAATAAAAAAAAGATGCCATTCAAGACATTTCCAGTCAGCTGATTTTGGGCTTGAGAGGCAAACTTCATTATGTAAAGTTTGAACTTAAGTAACTGAAGGCAATGTCACTGAAAACGAACTCTCCTAAATGAGTTTCTTACAACGCTGTGCATGGTGTCTGAAGAAATTCCTCGAACGGAATGAACTTGTGGCAGAAATTACAAAAAGCTGGCAATACGCAATGTTTGCAACTAGTTTTTTCGTGTGAGATTGAACATCAACCAATCAGTAATGATATTTCCATGCATTAAAGGCAGTGTAGCTTGCATTTTGTAATATAAGGTACATGCGGCATTGCTGTTTGATCCATCTCAGAAACCTACGTTACACTATGCACATACCCAATCAAAGGAGTGTATCGTATTAACTAAAGACATTAAGCAAAATCAAGCCATGTAAATTATACGTTGTTTTGTTTCCTGAACTAATAATAGTTTCATGACTTACATTGGAATTTAATATTTAAAATATACATTCTCAGCATTTTAAGTGTGTTTAATATGTATGAATACTTCTGCAGCAAATAAATATTTACAAATTAATACTTTTGAATGAATTATCTTCCAGACCATTAATGTATTTTTAATCTTATGGTAATGCGGGTAGAGGATCGTGGGACGTTGGTTGAACAGTTCACTCAAGTTTCGACGCTATATCTGAAGAATTATTTTACTTTCTAAAGGGAAAGGAGAAACAAACAAGGCGTCTAAGCAGTGTACTTTCTTGATCCCAGTCTTCGAAACTTTAGATTTCACTATCAGAAGGAAGTCGACGGTAGTTTTATGACACAGTCTGGAATTAATGTCAGTGTACGGGTCTTCGATCTTTTTGAATAATATTTCTACAGGCTGTCTGGTGACTTCATGTCAGTACTTCAAGAATTTTTTTTCCTGAAGTCATATGTGTCATGAATGTGAGTTTCTCAGCTGTTCCGGAGCTGTCGATAGAAATTAAAGATGATCTGAACAGACATTATTACAGTCGTACTACCAGCATACTGGATCACCCCTGACGTTTCAGCATGAATGTGGTGGAATACCTGATTGAACATTTTCCTAACCGATGCTGTGATGATCTTTTGTATTTTATTCGAGGGCATGAGCAAAGAAATGATGGCCAGCTTTTACTATCCATATCTTACAGCAAAATTAACAAGATCACTGTACCTCCAACTTTTTTTAAATGTAATTCCAGTGCACAAAATATTTTGAAATCAACAAAATAATTAACACTTCATATCTTTTGACAGTCCCTTGGAACATTCTCGACTAACCACATGCAACGTAGGATGTCATATCGCAGACATTTGGAGCATGCAAAACTGATATTTAAAAAAATTATCATATTTAAGAAAAGGAAAATTAAATTTAAATTAGTGCACTTTCATTGTCTTTTAATAGGAGACATATATATGATCATGTTACAGCTCATCGTGGAATGGTAAATTTGACTTGTTAATGTTTGTGCCATTGTAAGTAACGACCCACAAGCTTTTAGCTTATTTTGAACACGTTTACGGGTACACGCTCCGTAGATCTCTAACGTTCGAGGTAGTCTGACTGTGAGCTGCAGGCTTACATCAAGGTATGAAATAAGGTTAACTCAAAAATGAGAGGTGGATTATGTTTATAGAGAAATGTGTTCATAAAAGCATATTTTCTGTGATTATTTCCAGTAGGAACATCTCCAAATGTTTCACAGTTTTAGATGTATTTGTGCAAACTTCTTTAGGTTACAGCAACTGGTAATTCTGAAATATGCAATTGGACGTTTGTTGAAATTTCACTGAAGCGTCCCATCATTTTGTACAAATTCCAAGCCCTAGTTTGGTTTGTGTGTGTGCATATGAAGTGAATTATTCAGAACAAGGAAATCTTTCATTTATAATTTCATTTAATGCCTTTCCTTCTTATGTATGTAACCTAAAGTCATTTGTGAAATTAACATATTTCTTTCTGATTAGTGACCTTAATAGCAGTAAAGTGCCAATGTTGCTAAGTATTTTGCTTAATGTTTTGTAGTTAAGGTACAGGTTAGTGCAGCCGTCATTGTAACAAATTGATTTTGTTAAGGTTATTGCAAAAGATTTCTTTATGCTCTCTTCTTCAATTTGAAACTATGGGGTGTTTTTAATATGTTGTTTGTTTGTATAAATGGGTAATTGGTTTCGTATCTCATTATTGGTATACTTAGTTATACCAAAAACATACGCTCTCAATTGCTGTTGTGGTGAAAAGCTGTTATGAATTGCTTTTTAGTTACATCCTGTTGAGCAAAATTCCTTTTTTTAATTGTAATGAACACTTTCTTGTTAACAAGCTTTTCAGTTTCATCTAGATGTAGGCTTAAAGTATGTTTTAGAACGTATCTGGTACTAGGCTAACCGTAACGTTTGTATTCAGTGCGTCATCGGAGAGAATTTTCTACCAATTTGCGTTGTGGCCTATCGTTATTAGACACACAGTGATGAACGGGAGAGGTTTATATTAGGCCTTTAATGTCTCTGTTGTAACTGACAAGAAAGTTCCAAATTTTCACAGCTTGCACTGTTTTAAAGTACGACAATAGCTTACCTGTAATACACGGAATTATATTCTACATTAAGTCCATAGGTTAACTTTCATATGGGACAGTTGGTAGATAAGAATACAGGTATTTCAAAACTGACAACGTAAAATGAGGGGCATACGTATGGATAGTGCAAAATGATGGGGGGACAGGTGCCCTTTTACCGCACCCCCTCTCCCAACCTCAGTTTTTACGCCCACGAAAGGTTTAAAACTATCCTTAACCAGCACTAAGCCATGATAATTTCAGTGAAAGTTACGGAAGGCAAAGAAACTGATTCTGGTAAGTTGGTGTACGTGGGTTGGTCGGTGGGAAGACGAGCTGTCTCTGGGTAAGGTAGGTAGGTAGGTGGGCTGTTGAAACAGAATGTGGGCGGCCATTGAACGAGCAGCAGAACAGAGCTTTCTGGCGCGCTCCAGTACTTTGGAGGGGTGGAGGGTGAACTTCATCCACGCATGCTGCTCGCAGATACACATCCAACCCCTCTCGTCCTGTGCCCCGGTTCATTCATACCGTAGGTCGACCGGGCGAGTGTATGTTGTACTTCGCGGACCGCGAACTCCCCTTCCGAAACAGGCTGATGCAATGGACAATTTATCGCTCGGAGAAAAATTGTTACTATTACGAAAGTAGGAACTTGGTTATTTGTAAACCATACCCAGTGGTAAGGGGCTGGATGGGCCTGGAATGTGGTTAGGATGCTCACAGCAAGGAATTCATGCAGAATTTTGGTGGGCAAACCTCTTGGAAGGAGTTGAGTTGAAAAAATCGAGAAATATACAGAGTGATCTCTTTATGGTTGTGAGGTTCTGACTCGTGATATGGTATTAGCGGTGTTGAACCTTGAACTTCTGTCGCCACAAATATCATGGGATCATTTTGAAACTTTTTAATGCTAATTTATGGATGGTACCAAGAACGTAAATTTGAATCACTTGGCGACTTGTGATTTCCGACCAAACGGTTGTCCTACAGCGGACACCCTGTCTCAGGGTTTTTTTTTTACCCAGAACACCTCGTGCAGTGATATTAACGCGTTTTTTAATAATATTTTCCAGTTTCTATAATTTAATTTCATATGTTGGACCGACATTATTTTCTTACTCGTAGATTATGCAATTACTGAACATTCTTCTGTTGCTGGAAGAATGTTCCACTTTTATTCTAGAGGTGCCAGGTTCGAATTTCTGGTGGTGCCGTCTGTCATAAACGAAAGGTTTCATGGTTTTCCTCAGTCTTTCGAGGCAATTCCCGCTCATTCACTTCTACTAATCGGTTCATTGGGGTTACACAGTTACGTAATTAAGAGGATGCAGCCTAGTACAGTCCATCCACTGATAAAGTTAAACGCAAATGTCATTTCTGGGCTCCCGGTGGATCACTACAAGATTTCCCGGACACGATTCGAGTAACTGTTTATGAAAACAAAGTCAAGTTATCTTCCTTTTAAGTGTGTTGTTCAAAGAAGTTGAAATTCACCCGAAGTTCTTCCAGAGGAAATTTACAAATTTCTTTTCATGTTTTCCTTTAACTGTTCTTACGCGTAAGGGTTTTTATTTATCTGTGTATCCTGTCCTTAAAATTATCCCATAAATAAAAGTCGCTCGGAGTGAGCTCCGGTGAACGTGGTGGCTTATTACGCTGTCCAAAGCCGTCAGATAATTGTCTGCTACGTGGGCTTCGTTAGTATAAAAGTAAAACGGACAAGTTCCCCGTTATTTAAAGACTGCAAAAGCCATTTGTAGAGAATCTTGCCGGGTTACGTCGCTTTGGCTACTGACGATTTGGAGATCTGCGAGGCGTCTCAGATTTCAGAGGCGTGTATTCTGATCTGGTGCCCTGTTTTTCGTCTAGTCTTTTTCATAACAATCTGGTGCCCTGTTTTTCGTCTAGTCTAGATTCTTCGGTTAGTACACGGCTTTTTCATAACAGATTTCTTGTCCAGAAGTGACCTTATTGGTGAGTTAAGACCATTTGTCGGCCTCCATCTCCCTCCTCTCGCCTCAACTCTGACTAACAAGGCTTCTTGTCTTGACGTATCATCCCCCGAAGACGGAGGAAACAGGTTCTTCCGGTAACCCAGAAGACCACTCTCTATGCGCTGGATAATCGACGGTAGCCATACCAATATTTTTATTTCCTTTTATAAACGTTCGACAATCTGTCTTCCGGTTAGTTGTATTTTGATGAACTAATTTTGTTAGAATTTTATTTTGCAAAGAGCCATAAAAGCTGGACGGGTAACATGAATTAAGGATCACGTCAAGGTCTGTACTCCTCCCCCAATATTGTCAGGGTGATTAAGTCGAGAAGAATGAGATGGGCGGGGCATGTGGCGCGCATGGATGGGACAAGAGGTGTGGAAGCCTGAGGGGAAGAGACCGCTGGGGAGACCTAGACGTAGATGGGAGGATAATCTCAGGCGGAATCTATGGGAGATAGGAGTTAGAGGAGACTGGATTTTGTTGGCCCAGGACAGGGTCCGGTGGAGGGCTTTGGTTAATTCGGTGATGAACCTTCGGGTTCGGTAAGCCATCTAAGCCCGAGGTGTCTCGGGAGGAAGTGCGCGGACTGGCAGAAAGAGAGGAAGAAAAGAAGAAAGGAAAAAGAATCTAATTAGTGGTCCACTCGTTATTATAAGATTTATCGTATAATGTTGCTGCAATCAGAGTTACGTTGCTGTGAATCTGTGGCCTGTCTTACCACTTCGTCGGAGGACTTCACGAGTAAACACGGGCGAAGTCTCCCCTGCAAACTTCTTTACGGACTACGTTACAGGCTGTTTTTGTTGAACATTTCTTTCTTGGGTTCCTTGCTCGTGTTATATCGGACTAGTCGTAGAACCGGATGATTCAGCATCGTTAATACCGTAGTCGGAGGGATATTGGACTTCTTGTGAACTACGCTCATCTCTTTCCGGTCTTCGAGGACTTTCCCCCACATCTTGCGCGTTCCACACCCTCACAATGAAGATGACTGTCTCCTGGGATGTTGACTGCTTTCATCATTAGTCAGCAACTACCTCTGAAACGTCGGTGGAAATTTTACCAGACTTCACTGTGCAACATTCTAGAAGACGGCCATATTCATCCTCGATGAATCTCACCCGCGACGTCTTGAATCCCACGTTTGCAGTCGATGGATTTTGTCTGTGTAATGTCAAAGCAACGTATGAAGAGTCTGTGCCTACGCAACGGTACGCCATACTAGTCCCCCTCGCCTAACCCTCTTCTATTACAAATTAAAATATACTCGTGTCGCTGAGAATTAAATAATTAACTCAACACAGAAGAGCCTTTGATGGTCTATGCTTACTTTACCGGTTTTGGCTACGTCTGTAGGGATATTTTTACGTATACTAAAAGCATTTGCTTTGTAAATTGTCATTATTTAATCGTTTTTTTGTAATAAAGTGTTCACGGTTTACTTGTAACGATAAGCCAGTACAATGATGACATTTGTGTGCGTAGTATTCGCTCTGTGGAGGCGTAGGAGGGCGTGGAAGCGAGGCCCACGGTTTTATTTCTATCTAGTATTTACCTCCCTTGCACACAGAGTTGGCGTTTGGGTGTGTCCCAGGGAAACTCCAACGCTCTTACTGGGAATCGAACCTGTCAGGGACTCAGTAAAGACGGTAGGAACCTGATAGGTTTTGTTTTATACTTTTAAAATATCTAGGAATACTCACTGGGCTGTAAATATTTTAGGCATAACTTGTATTATCCAATGGGATTCCAGTTTATCGAAATCTCTTAACCCGAAGCTCGTCTGAATATTTGAGAATTCAGTCCTTACCGAAAAGAGAACACAGACCTAGTGTTAACGACGTTGTGTTATATGAAAGGAAATGATTAGGTGCTCTGAATTTGATGGGGATGTGGAGGAAGGGGGCAGAGGCCTATTTCAAGTTATTGTCTTGGCATGGAACGCACGAGGAAAACTACGAGAAACCTCACTTGGAAATAGATAGAGCCGCGTTTGAGATTCGAGCTCGACAACTCCTGATTTTCATTACTCAAACCTTTTCGGTGTGAAATACAGGATTTGCGTTGTCTGCTCGTTTATTAACGGATGTCTGGAATCAAAATTTAGGTTCTGAGAATCTCTAATCTCTGTTTGTTTGTTTGTATGTTTGGTGTACGATGTAACGTTCCGAGACTGTGTGGTCTTTGAGTAAAATAAGAAATTTTTGTAACTGTCCAAGTTTTGGCAAAAATACGGCCCCCTGTCGATGTTTTAAGTATTACCAGTATCACAGCTGTTTATGATAAATCTTATTCAGACTCTCTACAGATTACGTTTAATGGCACCGAGATAAAACTGACTGGAGTTCATGATCTCTCGTCCGAATAAATTATTAGTAAAGCAATTTTTACCTTTTTTTGAAGGACTTATCGATAACTATATTTGATCTGTGAGAATAACAATTTTTGAAGAGCCGACTTTTTCGTGAGGTTGTCTAGCCCAGTGGTATTCAACCTGGGGTACGTGAAATTTAAAAAAAATACATTATTTTATGATAAACACTGAATAATCAGTAATGTAATTTATTTAATTTATTTTAGATGTAGATTATATACTACGTATAACTTGAATTATACACCAACAACTTTGGGGGTACAAAGTCGAAGAGAAATTATATCTGGGGGTACGCGAACAAAAAATCTTGAATACCACTTATCTAGCCGACCTTAATTTCTAAATATTCCTGTTCTTCTCAGCATCTGAAACATCGGAACATTATAAGCGCTTTTCGATAAGTATATTAACAAAGTTGGATAATTTTGGTTAATGAAACCTGATTCTTTGACCGTGTTCATGATTTGTTTCAGTTGAAACCGACAGATGACGCCGGGCTTGCGCAACTCTTACGAGTTTCGTTCGTTGCCACAGGCGAGTGTGTGTAGTGGCGCCACATCTGAACAGGTCTGTGTCACGCCCTCTTTCTCCTGCTACGTACATTTATTAACGTTTAGCTTCTTTCGTTTGCATGTGCTTG